TTTTTTTTTTTTTTTTTTTAAAGAATACTCATTTTTGTAGACACTTCAAATAAAGTCTGCCCCCATCTTCTCTTTCAAGGCTCCGCAACTTACGGCTTCCTGAAACAACTTTTACAAACTGAAGATGCCCTTTTTCCTATATTAGTCTAACCTGGAGGATGTGTTCTGGCTTGGTTTCCTAAGTTTGTTTTGGAAGGCACATGCTGTTTAACCCAAATTTTCAACATGAGAGCAGCTGATAAAGAGTTTGGGAACATGAGTGGCTGGACCCACAGTGATGCTTCTGTACATTATTTTCAGTGCTTGATGGTTGTCTATTATTCTGCTCATAAACTAAGCTATGGATTTGAGATTAGGAATTTTAAGGGAGCTGGGGAGAAGGTTCAGTTGATAAAGTGTTTCCTAGAGAAGAATTAGGACCCGTGTTTGGATCCCCCACAGCACACACCTGTAGTAGAACCAGTGCTGCAGAGGCAGAGGCAGAGGCAGGTAGACCCTGGAGCTCACTGGATGGCCAAACAGCCTGGCTGAATTGGTGAACTCCAGAGTCAAAGAGACCTATTTCAAAAAGTAAGGTAAAAAGCAACTGAAAAAGCAACCTGACAATCTCTGGCCTCCACTTGCATATAAAAATATAATATAAGCATTGCTCTCTAACCCCCAACCCCCACTGCCCCAGTACATTTTCAAACTTCAAAAACACGAGGACTGCAGGACAGGAACCACATACATTCTTTAAAAAGTCTCTCATCCAAACTCACAATGTCTTGACTCTATCTACCTTTACTTTTAAGATATTATGCTGGGTGTCCTGGTGTGCACATGAAGTATTAGCACCTAGGAGGCTGAGCCAAGATGTATAGAGTCCTGGGTAATATATTTCAATGAATGAAAGAGTGAATGAGAGAGTGAATGAACACACACATTCATGCACAGAACAAACTACCATGCAAATTTACTTAGTGTCATGAAAGTATAAGAAATGTAAGCTCTATGAATGCTGTGAAGCCAACTGTCAAGGTGACTACTCTGAATAGTTTAGCATGTTATCTTGACTGTGTTTATTTTACTAACTTAACAATCATACAGTTAAAGGATTGACTAACATTAAAAAGAAGAACAACCAACACAGTCATAAAACTGCCAATGGCCAAAAAGTGAAATATTCCATTAAAGATGCCTCAATATCAGCTAAGAATACCCTGGAACCTGGATCCTTACTTAAGACCTTATGTTGTGAGATTTGTCATGCTCCCCACCCCTAATGTTAACAAAAAAATCCTGGAATATGGCCTAGACCTGTCTCACAAGACAACCACTGGAAGGTCAGAGTTCATCTGCAAGAACTGTGCACACATGGAGGCACATCACGCAGACAGCCTACAAAGCAGAAAGTGCAGGAAGGGTTCTCAGTGACATTGTGTCCTGCCTTCTCATGGACTGAAGCCCTCAAAGAAATGGAAATCTACATTTAAAAAGTCTGCCAACCATATCCAACAAGCTATACCTGAGATCAAAAGAAATGGAAATATAGAAATCAGGTCCCTTCAGATCATATGGCCATTGTTACGACCAGTCATAAATACATGTCAGTGTGGTGGCACACATTAATAGCTTGGGAGGCTCGATCAGGAGTAATAAGTAATAGCTTTGATGACATAGCCAGACCCTGTCTTAAAGTAAAAAACAAAACCAAGATGGAACTAGGATACTCAGATGGGGGCTCACAGGAGCCCAGGGAAGCCACTGTGTAGGTCCTCTGGCAGTGTGGCTCAGAGTAAACTCTGCATCCCCCACAAAGGAGCTCCTGGATGCTACTCACTCCTGATAGGTACCGAGGGACCCCAGGAAGCAGAAGCAACAGCAGGGAAATTGGGGGGAAGATTTTGATATAAAATACCAAACTCTCAGTTGATTGCTTCTTTCCATCCATTGTCAGCAGAATCTCAGGTTTCATTACTGTTTTAACTCCTACAAACATCCCAGGACAGTTTTAGCTCCTGATTAATGTAGCACAGGTATGTGGTTAGGAGAGATCACAGCTAACCACTGAAGTCTCAGATTCTGGAATGGATCCATCCAGGCAAATTAATCTAACTTCACTCTGACACATTTTTGTGAGTGTTTTCACATTTTTTAAATTAATTTTTTTTGAAAGTACAGCTTTGCCAACAAATGAAGGTGATAATGACTTTGTGATTGATAGCAAAAATTAAGTGTTCTTTTAACCCATCCTTTACAAGTTTTGGTAGTATTATGACCCAATGAGCAACAAAATCTGGGTGACACATCTGTAGTCCTTAGGACAGGACAGACTGACAAAAACATAAAGGCAGACAAAATTCATTAACAAAATCTAACATCCTTTCACTATAAAAACATGCAACAAACTTAAAATAGAGATGAACTTCCTTCAGCTGGTAAATTTTATCTAAGATAAACCCACAATAAGAATTACAGTTAGTGGGGAAGGAGTGAATGCTTTCTTCCTAAAATGAGGGAAAAGACAAGAATGTTTATATGTTTTACTCCCATTTAGCACTGTCCTAAAGGTCTGGTGCATCCAAGAGGTAACACAGGAAATCAATAACATCCAGAATGGAAAGAAGAACAAAGCCATCTCTATCGCAAATGCCATAATCTTGGGAGTAGAAAATCATAATGAATCTACTAAATAACTCTTAAGAAAGAAGAAAAGAAGTTTAGAAGATTGCAGAAAACAAGGTCATAGCATGAACTTGAACTGTTATCTACATACCAGCACTGAACTGAAAACAATCCTACTCAAAGCCACCACAGGGAATAAAAGAGGAATACATCTGACAAAGCATAAAACCAATAGTCTGGGGAGAACCCTGAGACACTGATGAAAGACACTCAGACGGACCAAATGAGTGGGAAAGCAGCCTATGTCACTGCTTACTGGACATAGACTGGATACTGTTAAGATGACAATGGAGCTGGGGTGTAGCTCAATGGTGGGTCGCCTGCCTAGGCCCAGGGTTTGACTCCTAATCCTGAAAAAAAAAAAAAAAAAAAAAAAAAAAAAGTAAAACAAGCAACCCCAAATCCCCCAATGATGGCAATTCACCAAAACTGAATGTATCCCTACTCTTTCTGAAGAAACTGACCATTTGTTCCTAAATATCATACCGGGCAGGGTATAGCTCAGTTACAAACTACTAGCCTAGCATATTGGGGCCCTAGAATACCTCAAAACAAACAAAACTAAATTATCCAGATAGAAATGGAAACAAGTCAGACTAATCAAAACAAGCTTGAATGAATCCGGGCATGACACTGGGGCTCAGAAAGCAACTTTAAAAAAAAAAAAATACTTTTTGGGAAAGGTCTTTAGTTGAAGGACTTGCACTTCCTTATTGAAGACTAATCTAAAAGTCAGGGTAACAGACACCCTGTGATCATGGCATGGAAGGAAGAGCACACCCTTATATTTATAAATTTTTGACAGGAGTGGCAAGATAATTCAACGAGGAAAAGAAAAATAGGCTATCCATATTTAATGACTCAAAATGGATCATAAACTCTAGTGCCCCAAGCTGTGAAACTCCCCATACTGCTTTACCCCTCTTTGGGTAGACAGTAAACACAGTGTTTGGGGAAGGCAGAGTTTCACTGAATGCACTGATAGAGATATCCTTTGTCAAAGACAGCAGCTATATCTTTAACAGGTGTGTTTGATGCTTACAATTTAATCACAAACATGATCCCCAAATGAGAAATATTTAAATCAGAGGTGACTGGGGTGATGATCAGAGATGTACAATGGAAGACCACTACCCAACAGAAGTGAGGGGCAAAATAGCCCCATGGAGGATTCTTCTAAGCAATGTGTCTCCCGCCACATGCCATTTCTTACTGCCCACACAGAGCTCTATTCAGTAGAAGATACAGAATCATCTAAGAGAGAAATAGATACCCCTAGGACCAGGCTGAGCATGGAAAGTGAGGGACAGACAAACGAGGCAGAATAATAAAAGGAACAGGCTTAAATGGAAGTCAGAGATACCAACTGGCCAATATTGTGGTAAAACAGCAAAAAGCTACAATGTAAAATCATGCATTAATACCACATAATAACAACAGATATTGAGTGCTTACCATGTACCTGGAACTATTCACTACACTCATACCTTATTAATCCTCATTCTAATCCAATTAAGTAGCCTGGATTCAATGCCCAGCAGCAAACAACAATTTACAACTGATATCCAAAGAGATCAAAAAAGATTTGGATTCTGAGGTATCACTGACTATGAGAATGTGATATTTTGGGTCTCTTTTCCTAACTCCACACCATTCCTAAAATGTTCTTGTTAGAGAGAGAGAGAGAGAGAGAGAGAGAGAGAGAGAGAGAGAGAGAGAGAGAAGCCGTTTCTGTTGTAAGCGCTCGAAACATATGCTACCTACTGCTCTGTAAAATATATTCCCCAGTACTTCGCCTCTCAGCATTTAATATCCACCTCTGTTCTCTATCTCATCCCTGAATCCAGGAAGTCATTTCTTAGCATTTATCAAATGTTCCCCCCATCCCCATCCTCCTTCTGAAGCCTCAGAACCAGGCCACTTAACTATTCAAAGGCTCCACATTTTGTTTGTTTGAAGGAAAACCTTTGTGAGATCTGGTAGGCACATGAAGATATTGTTTAAAGTGAAAGGCTGCATACATGATGCATATAGTCCTAAGGGTGCTTTTGTATGCAATAATCTACCCACCTCTGGCTTTCTTACAAAGAAAAACCCCAAGTGGCACAGGGGAAATAACCCTGTTCCACCCCAAAGAACGCAAGGGCCAAAGGTGTAGTCTGATCCCCTGAGATGCTTTGAACAGGCAATTAAAACAATCTTAGATTTTTCTCTGTGGAGAACAGGGGGAAACAAAACAAACAAGCAAACAGAAAACCTCTGAAGCTTTAAGACTAGTCTACCAATGGCTCAATGGTGCAGTCAGCCACGTTAGAAAAGAACATGTCACCTACCTGTGCATGTTCCCATTGGTGGTGAAAGACTGACCACACACTGTGCATTTGTAAGGCCTTTCACCAGAGTGCACCAGCATGTGACGATCCAGGGAGCTGGCAGAGCTCAGTGACTTCCCACAGATGCTGCATGAGTGGTCAGCTCCTCCGGTTTCTGTGTTGTGCTACAGAAAGCAATCGGTGCAATGGTTACATGAGATGGCATTAAAAAAATACAGATCTGGGGCTTCATAAAAACCAGTCAAGTTTCTCAACTTTTACCCCGTTTCTTTTTAAGTGTCTTTGAAAGAGTTCAAGTCAACATGGACTAGGACTATATGTAAAGATCCCCATACTTGGTCCCCTTTCTCCAGACAAATATACAGAACCAAACCAAGTACAGGGAGGGGTGGGGGTAGGGAGACTTACAACTATACTTTTTTATCATAAGAGATATATTTCATATGTTACAAACAATAAGAAGAAAACTGTGCCAATAAATGCAATCTAACTGTATGTTCACTATCTTTGAAAAAAAAAAAAATGTATCCTTAGACTTTCATAGAAACATGACCACACAAAAAATTTTTATTGAGATCCCAAAATTGCTAAAACCCCAAATTTTAGACATAGATTACAATTTACTAGACAATTAAGGTCAAATCATCCTGTTAGAGATATGCACAAGTAGCGATACCTGACGGATGTGCATGGTCAGCTGGTGCTGGGTGTTGCAAATCTTTTCACATAGGGGACAGTTATAAGAGGACTTCTCTTCTTTCGTCTCCTAAAGTGAGTAAAACAGAACATGAATGTCCAATCATGGAGAACTGGTACCTTCTGTTTTGTAACAGGCCCATGTCTAAGCAGATGTAATCATTAGACTGGAGCCTGTCCAGGTGTTTGTGCATGCCACTCGCCCATCTGTCCTCAGTTTCCTTGCTTATAAATAGGAAAACCAACATTGGTCACACTGTTAGTGGACAAAGAGTAGGCTACAGTGCTCAGCACAGGGGAAACTCTCAGTGTGGTCTATAACACATCACTTCACTAACCCCAGTGAGTGAAAAACAGGGTGCATTTCTCCAACTCACACCCAAGCTCCAAGTCCTATTTGGCCTCTAACTCCTTAAATAGCCTAGGCTCTCTTTAACTCTGGTCTCCACCTTGCATGTATTGAGACAGCCTGTTAGGAACTTAAGGGAGGTTCTGAAATCCTTATCAGAAAAATCCAACCTACCCATGAATGGATTCCTTTGTGGCCCATCAGTAATAACGTGAATAACAAGGCCCTGCATCTTCTTACCAGCGTCCATAAATAAAGAGAAAGAATTCTAACCCTGTCAAAACCAGTCAGCATGACAATCCAAACTGAAGACTTCCATAAGAGGTGATTTAAAAAAAAAAAAAAAAAAAAAGTCAGCTCACTATTTTTCCCTCAAAGCATACAAACATACAGGGCAAGCTTCCTTCAAGCAATATACTCTCTTACTTTTCTAAGGAAAAGGCTAACTTCCTTCACTGACCCTTTCTTATAAGTTCCTCCTAAGGAATTCATGGGAAATCACAAGGAATGCCCCGTCTTCCCTTCTTACCCACCCAGAACTAGACAGAATGGGTCCCTGTCTATGTTCCTAAAACTAACAATTCACAGTTGGGCAGCTCTCAGGAATTAGAATGCTCAAACATCACCATCACTGGGCTTCCTAAAGCGGCAGGACCATGGAAGCTCCGAGCAATATAAACTTGTAGACTCTTTAACTAGTCCAGGGTTGCAGGGAACACCCAAGATCTTTTTGTCTTACATTTTCCCCAAAAGACTTTGATGCACTTGGGTTTAGGGACAACTCATTACTCGATCAAGTGATCATGAGCATGTCCATGGAGAATTCATGAAGAGTTGGATCCAGAGTTCACACTATGGCAAGTACAGCCAGGAGAAAGCATTGGGGGAGGGGGAATAGATAGTAGTGCTAAATAAAATGAGAGGCCAGAGAAGAAGTGTGCCTAAACACCTTGGTCAACCTTTATATCCTTTTCTGGTCTCGGATATCTTTGCGTAGATTTCTTTTCATTTGCATTCATTTGAATGAGTTTCTGCTTTTTCACTGTTAATACCAATTATTGAGCACATGGCAATCAGTGAATTAATGGCAACATCTGGAAAAGGAAACTTTTGAGTACAGAGGGACAAGGAACTTGCTCCAAACAGAACAATTATGAAACTGACACCAGCTTAACACTCAGACTAGCTGGCAATAGCCCATTACCCTAAATTATAAAGTATGACCCCACAGCACAGAAAAGCACCACCACCCTTCTGGTTGTTCATGAAATATGAAAAGAATAAAAGTTATCCTAAAGACTGTAACAAATGGCACCATGAACCACATGGGTGAAATGAATATGTGATGATGTCTTGTTTGTGGCTACCTTCTTGCTTTTTTTTAAACCTGGGGAAGCAGGTTGGAGAACTAGGGTAGCCAAACATTTTTTTCACTCTCAAATTCTAAGGAAGTTGAATATCCCAGAGACAAACAAATAAATAAATGGATAAACAAATAAATAAATGAGATCTACTTCACCCAGTTATCTATACTCTTCTAGCTCTCTCAGAGCATGAGAAGATGTCTCACAGCCAGGTCAAAATTTTAGGCAAAAATCAAGCTCTGAAGTATTTATGTCAAATCATCAGATTGACAATACTATGTAAACTTTTTATACTGAAAAGATTCACCAGTAAATGTAGATTTGTTTACTAAATGTATTAAATGCATGTTTAAGAAGTCTAAACCCAACCAGATATAGTGGCTCATCTCTTTAGTCCTTCAGAAGACTTAGGCGGGGAACTGTTTAAGCTCACATGTTCATGCCAGTATGGGCAACACAGTGAGACCTTGTCTCAAAAAAATCTAGGCCTCCAACTGGCCAATCACTTGAGGAGACATGTTTTAATAAAATCATCTTGTGGTCACCTTGAAGTAGACACCAGGCACATTGTGTGGAGGCACACAGAGCTGACTGATATTGACTCTAGGGTTGATCATTAACCTCTCTGCCCAGCCTGAAGCTGGTAATGCTACCATGCAGGCCATATGCAAGTTCACAAAACCGGAGGTGGTCTATGGAATCAGATTCGCTAACTTTTAAAGGCGAACAGAATAGTGAAAGAGAAGTGTGATGGTGGAGAAGGCCCACGAACGACGTCTGAGCCCAGCTGCTGAAAGAAACATACTTCCTGAGCTGAGAGATAAAATTAGCAGCTAATGTGATAACTAACCAGTCCATAATGAAACAATCTGGCACCCTTGTCAGCATCCGGCTATGGCTAATCTCCGCTGGAATGCTAGGGTCACATGGATGCAACCTTTCCCAAGGCGCCCTTTTTCTACTCACCCTGTTCAGTTGTCAGGTAAAGGCAGTTCCTCTCTCCCTGAGCTATCTACCCACTATGTTTTCTTTTCTTATTTTGGGTGCTGTATTTAGCAGGTTACCTCTGGCCTAAGCCTCCCTTCCAAAAACAAAGCCAGTGTATCAGAACCCTGAAGGAGAAAGGATGACAAGTGGCCCAGTTACACTGCACATTTGACTTCCTCACTCCTGGGCAACCGCCTTTCCTCAGTATCCAGAGATGGAAGGAATGGGAGGTGTCTTCCCTAACGGTCTTTGAACAACTGGGAAAGGATCAGAGCCTGGACTTGGGGCAGCTATGCAGTGCTATGCTATTTAAGGAAAGGCTCTTCCCTGTCAATTCATTCTTGGTAGAGCAGAGTAGGAAGAGTAAGTAGACAATGACCTCTCATTTCTTAGTCATCCCTGAATGTTTGACACCTGGCACAGTAGCTAGCCAGAAATAGAAGCTGGGCCTGTTGTTAAATGAGTTGATAGACAGAGAGACAGATGGAGAGATGGATGGACAGATATATGAGTGGAAATAAACCTTTTTTTCCCAGGGCTAGCGCTCCTTCTGTACTCAGGCTGAGCATTTTCTCAGGCACCCACAGGAAAGAGGCACATGAAGGCAAGGGAAAAGAGAGGGAAAGAGAGAGAGAGTTATCAATGCTCCAAACCTAAAATATCCCTGAGCTCTGCTGAGCCCTCAGGCTTGAGGTGAGGAATGGAAGCATGCACACTTACACACCAGAGAATGTGGGGCTGCTACCACTTCCTAGAGGGCACATTGTACTAAAAACCTGAGAATTTTTAAAAACCCATTATTTATGTGCCATCCTGGCACCCAGGCAAGCTGAGAAGAATGCCTTGTCTCCAAACAAGGTGTTAGTGTAACTACATTATACCATAAAACAAGAAACTAATGAGGAAGTTGGGTCACACATTTTGATTTCAGAAATGGACTGAGAATTATTTGCCCTCTGCCTCTTTGTTTACAGAGTGGAAAATGTTGCTATGCTATCATGACAGCAACAACTTTTCAAAAGTTCCCCATTTGTTCATTAACCGAAAAAAGAGAGTACCGTGTTCTATTAGAGGAGATGGGGGCTTTTCTAACAGCATTCCTTCCAATTTCTGTAGATGCAATTACTCTTTCCAACCTCTCCTGATCCTGTGACCCCTGAAAATTGAAAGACTAAACAGGGCCTTGCACTGCTATGAGCTGAGCACAACCGTTTCCATTGGATGGACCTTAAATGAGATTCTCTGAAGCCATAATTGCATGTCTCTAAAATTGGAAAGCTGAACTCTGAACAAACAGGAACTTATTTGCCACCTAATCTGAAGACACTTGGGAAAAAATAAAAAAGAAATCAAGGAGCTACTAACTAATCAGCTGTGTAAAAAGAAAAGAAGCCACATCATAGCACAGGCAGTCAAGTTCACTCCTTTAAATGTAAGCTTGTGCTTAAGTCAAACCACAGGTTAAGGAATAGCAGTGCTTTCCCTGAAAGACACAATGGCAGAAATTTCCTCTGTACAAGGATACAAATCATTTTTAAAAATCTGCTCCTGAAATATGTCGGAAACCTTTGGATGTATCTTTAATACAGAATGTGTCCTGGGCTTCCTCTTAGACAGCTAGGGGACGTCTCCCTACATTCTCACAAGACGAAGACATGGCCTACCACCACCCAACCCACAGACCCTTACCTGGTTCCTTCTGCCAATCCGATTTGGTCCTGGAGGCTTCATAGGGGACTTGATGCCCTGGGGGCTCCCACCATTCTCAGTGACATTCCCTACGCTCATTACTGCTGACATCATGGTGTTGATGGAAGACAGGTCTGAGCCTTCTAAACCAATGGGTGAATGTGACGTCATCTGGATGGGGTTTTATGCATTTAAGAAGTCTCTGCTATAGAACTGAAAAACAGACATGACTGTTATTTTCATGAGACTTTAGGTTTGTCACAGTCACATGGTGCTAATCATAGTAAGGGAGGTGGAGAGAGTGCCCAATACTCCTCCTTTCCTAGTTCAAGCCCATACCCAGAATAGAGCTAAAAATGACTTTTGTTTATTTGGTTTTTGAGATAAAACTTGCTATGTAGCCCAGGCTATCCAAACTCACTTTGTAGAAAAAGTGACTCAGAACTCCCTGATCCTCCTGCTTTAGGCTCTCAAGTACTGAGATTACTGGTATGAGCTACCACACCTGGTTCTAAAATCGTTTGAGCTTTCTTCTACAGATATAAACTGCTTCTTTTCTAGTGTAGGCCACCGACTGAATTCAAGTTATCTGAAACAGCATTATTTAGCTTTTCTTTCATTTTTTATCCACATGTATTATGTATGGTGTGTTCTGTGTTTGCATTAAAGTGAGTGCATGTGTGCCTATGCATTGTTTCCTTAATAGCTGTCTACTTTATGTACTGGGGAAGTGTCTCCTGCAGAACCCAGAACTTGCTGATTTGGCTGATCTACCCCACTTGTCCAAGAACCCTGTCTCTGCCTCCTGAGCACTAGGATTATGGGGATGGAGCTAAGGTGCGGGTGTACCACACACACCTGGCTTTTTAATGTTGGGGATTCAGACTTTGATCCTCACACTAACAGGGCAAACAGTTTATCAGTGAGCCATCTCCCTAGCCCACAATTTTCCTGATCTTTGTGAGCAGAGTTTGACAAGAGGAAACAGCTGCCATTTGGCTACCACATTCAACTCTGTATTTGCTTTCTTCTATTTAAATGTTCTAGACTTAAGAACTAGTCCATAGGAAACTTCAGGTTTACTCTAACTTCATGGCTACAGTACAGTGATTTAAAGGTGTGTGCATGTCAATTCTAGAAACCAATCCTGCCAGAATTATAACCCAACTTACAACTAAGATTAAAAACCCTGTATCTTAAAAAATTAAGTAACCTATTGATGGGAGATGTCATTCTGTAAATATGTTTCTCATACTAGTTAATGAATAAAATACTGTTAGCCAATAGGAAAGCAAGATAGGTGGGTCTAGGAAACAAGGAGGGTTCTAGGAAGTAGTAGGGAGGAGTCAAGATGGTGGACTGAGAGAGCAGAATGCCAGCCACTCTCTCCAGTAAGAGTATGTGGAAATACTTAGATTAATAGAACTGAGTTAATAATTAAGACAGAGCTAGCTGATAAGAAACTAGTACCTGGCGAACAGTATTATATCAAATATAGAGTCTCTGTGCGTTAATTGGGGCTGCCACCGCGGTCCAGACCAGGAGAAAAACCTAACTCCTTATATATGGCTCCAGTCTGTCGGCAGAAAATACTACTCATAACAACCTATAACTCATAAAATAGGAAAAAACAGTGCCTCCACTGAATTACCTCCATTTTCTGTCCCAAGTGATGGTTTCTTGCAACAGCTGTCATCCACATGGAGTGGGAAACGACTCTGCTGAGTCCTTTTCTTCTCTTTACACTGGAGGAAAAACAGGGGACATTGGATTAGTTAATTCATCAAGGAAAATTACTCAGTACTGGCTGGGAGTACATGTATATGTCTATGACCCCAGGCACAGAAATTAGAGGGTCTGAGAATCTGAATTCAGTGCTAGCCTGGCCACACAAGAAACTATTTAAAAAAAAAAAAAAAAAAAAAAAAAAAAAACCAGATTCAGTCTTTGCTGTGATTTTTAGGTCACTATACTCACAAAATACTAGAGCAAATGAGAGACAATTCTATGTCAGCCTTTTCTTTATTCTTTCTTTCTTCTTCTCCCCATGGACTCCACAAGACAAGGTTTCTCTGAGCAGCCTTCGCTGTCCTGGAACTCTGTAGGTCAGGCTGGCCTCAAACTCAGAGATCCATCTACCTCTGCCTCCCAAGTGCTGGGGTTAAAGTTTTCGCTGCCACGCCTGGGCCTAAATCAGCCTATTCTTATAAAACTTTGTGATGTAGCTGGGTGTTGTTGATGCACGCCTTTAATCCCATCACTTGGGAGGCAGAGGCAGGGAGATCTCAGTGAGTTCAAGGACAGGCTGGTCTACAGAGTGAGTTCAAGGACAGGCTCCAAAGCAATACAGAGAAACCCTGTCTTGGAAAAAACCAATACTGCCCCCCCCCCAAAAAAAACCCCAAAAACAGTGATGTGGGGTTCCAACCTAATGTTCCCTACTATCCTGCCTGCCACACTCTCAACAGCCAAGGAATTTTTCCAGTAGTTACTTTCTCAGCTACTATTTCACTCCAGTTTTTCTTTTACACTATATCCTATTTCTTAACAGATCCCCACTTTATCCACTTCATTTCTCATTTCCTAAGACCTCAGAGTCTAGACAATATTAGGCCACATCTAGAAGACACCTGGGTAATAGGAAATGAATGGCCAAAGGGAAATCCATAGCCTGAGACACATGACAATTGACTTCATTCCTGAACTACAAGAACATAGGTTATATGTTCCTCACATTTTTGATCTGGTAAAATATTCTAGATTGGTGGTTCTCAACTTTCTTAATGCTTCCTCGTGTGGTGACTCCCAAGCATAAAATTATTTTGTTGCTACTCATAAGTGTAATTAAGCTACTGTTAAGAATCATAATTAAATATATGATATGTTACCCTGGTGATAGGGTCATCTGACCCCCAAAGGGGTCACAGTCCACAGGTTGAGAACCACTAGAGTACATGAATTCCTGCTAATAATAACTGTTGGTATCCTGATGAAGCAGGAGCCTAAGATCAAGGCCATCACTTCAGTTTCCAAGCAGAAGCCTGAAAAAAAAACTGTAAGTTTGTGCTTCAACCTCAAGGGGATATAACAGTGTATTACAGAGGTCTTTGTCCAGCGCCCCCCCCCCCCTGCAAAAAAACAACTACCATAGCTGGACAGCTTTGTGGCAGCAGAGCAGGAAAGACCTGGGGACAGAGTTTTATAAAGTGGTACTTCTACCAGCTGAGTATTATCAAGCTCAAAATCCTGCTCCAAAGGCCAGAGTATCTCAGAAGCAGAACTTTTGAATGTCAAAAAATAAAACATGGGAGCCACTCAGACATACATGGGACTCTGGATTCAATCCCTAGCACTGCGCTCAAAAGACAAACTGTACCTCATATGATGCTAAGATCTTATGTGTTCCCTCAAAAGTTTGCATTAGAAACTTAATTCTCAAATTCATAGGCTGATGAATGGTCTTTGGAGGCCTCCACTGAGATCCAGTGAGGAGGAGTGGCAGAGGCCTGAGCAGACCTACTCTGCCTCATCAAGGGAAGAAACAAAACTCAAACCTGAACTGCTGCCTTTTCATGAAATTTCCCTCATGCTTGAAGACCACTTAAAGTTATTAAAAACTAACAGTGTTTGGACTTTTTTTTTTTTTTTTTTTTTTTTTTAAGGAAAAAACATGACGACAAGAGGGTGTAAAAGAATGCACTCACATACTTCTTTTTAGTAGATTAAAGATGGGCACTATCATGCCCAGCCCTACAATGGGGCTATGTTCTACCATGACCAGCTCAATAGGAAGTTGACAAAACATATTCACTGGACAGAGGCAAATTACCAATAATCCCAGAGTCATAATATCAAAGATGAATTCTTTCAAACTATCTTAAGTATTTAAACATAGGCTGTCCATCCAGTAAGAGTACTTATAGCTAGCTATCTAGCACCACTTCCCTACCTGGTAAAAAGAAAAGCCTTGCAAATGTTTTCCACTGTCTTGGCAGGAAGACACTGGTTACATTTATTTCCTCCTTGGGGATCAAGTGAAACGTGTGTACTAAGAACCCCTTCGTTTACTTCCTTTATGTATTTGAAATGTTAAGTAAATAGCAGTATGCCTTTTAAAAGGACCTCTCATTTCTGATGAGAATGCAGTTAGCAAAAGGGAAGGAATCTGAACCTATCCCGAAAGGATGTGCTCCCTCAGAGCTGGAGTACAACTTCATACCAGTTAATTCTTGACTGAGTCTGGCACTGGAATTTTCCTTTGGGATCCTGGAACAGGTCAGAAGAAAAAGACTTCTGCCTTAGGGGAAAAAATAAAAACAACATCTATCTTTACATTGAGGCAAGGGTGCAGGAACATTTAACCAGAAACAGGTTGGCTAGTTCTAGTTGATCCTATGTAACCTAGCAATAATGAACAATAACCATCCAATGAAAACATTTAAACTTGCTGATACTCGTGTTATGAAAGTCAAGTTTTCTCTTTGATTCTCCCACCCAGTCTGGTCCCCACAGGTACAAAGGCATTTCCCATGTATGCCCTCTCCCCGCCCCCCCCCACACCCTCCCTGTGCCTTGAAGAAGATGCTAATGCCCAGGTCAGAGAGAAGCCTGTGCTTGTACCTGAGGGGCTGAAATCCCCCACCATGTGGGGTTAAGCTGTCAGGAAAGACCCTCCTTCCTACTGGCCTAAAAAATGGTTTCAATAGTTTAAGATCCATTTACAGTATTTTTTGTTTGTTTGTTTGTTTTAACCTCATATTTACAAACCTAGAGAATTTTCATTCTCTCTCCCACACAATTTCTTCTCCTATGTGCTGCATCTAAGGTCATTTAAGATTTAAAATAAAAATGATAAAACCTGCTCAGATGGCTCTATGAGTAATGGTGCTTGCTGCCAAGCTTGACAACCTGAGTTCAACCCCTAAGACCCACATTACAAAAGGCATAAACTGATAAGTAGGTAGTCCTCCAGCCCCCACCCCCGACACACACACACTTTAAAATCTTTAAAATAACAGTCCCTGGGTCTCTTCTAATACAAACGCCTCTAACTGCAATTAGAGGTCAGGACCCCAGATGTCATCCCCATGTCACAGAAGTGTCGGACCAGCATTATCACCAGGCTTCCAGTTTTACTCTTCTAGCTTTGAATTTGCAGTTTGGAATGGGAGTGGGGAGGAAAGGAGAAAGAGGAAGGAGTGTCT